AAGAATCCAAGTGCAACCGATTAGAACTAATAATAATCAGATGCATACAGATTAGAGATGCATGCGCCAACATCTCAGTGTTAGTAGCAAAAACAATGAGTCTTTCTGCAAGGAACAATATATTCTAAAATGAAATGGAGATCTTTTTTAAAGTTTAAAGCCTCATTCAATTTTATGTCTTATAAGGTTTATACCGAGTACAATAATGTATAACTGTATTAGTTCAAATGTGAACCTAAAAATTTAGAGCCAATATTGAAAGAGAAGCGTCTTTGCTTTGGTACTGAATATGTTAATGCTGTAATGAAATGCTTCTAATCATGTGGTTATTAAATAATTTAAAAAAAAATTCAAGAGGGTGGAGAAAAGAAAAATACAGAAGTAGGACAAATAGAAAATAAAAACAAGGTAGTAAAATAAATGCAAACAAATAATTGCAATAAATATAAAGATCATGTAGGACTGAAAATAAAAAGTACCTAGATACACATGATTTATAAAACATTTTCATTCACTACAAAGTAAAAAGCAATTCTAAACCTGTCAACATTTAGTAACATAGCCTCAAAATATACAAAGCTACAAACTGATGAACAAAGAGAAATGAATAAAACTGTAATCATGATGAGCGATACTGTAAGCAACAAAACATTAGGGGATTTTTTTTAAAGGAAGCATATAGATGATTAAAAACACACAAGGTCCATATCATGACATCTGTACAACAATTCACTCAAGAGAATACATATTCTAAGCATACAACAAACATTATAAATGGTCACTTATTAGTCCACTATGCAAATAGCAACAAAAATAAAGTGCTATAAGACTCCGGGGGCAAGTTCCAAAAGAAGCCCTAAAGCATCATTAAACTCTGATAAGAATGAGCGTACAGCCTAACATAACTTAGATATATTTCAAAGTGTCCACCAATAAGTTTGGAAGTTGGCATACTTTTTTTTTTTTTTTAACATAGAAAAAATCCTGCCACCCTTGGAGAAGGTTCTCATGATGCACACCTATTCCCAGGTACTGAGAAGTTCCTGCAGGCAGGTACAGTTCAGTCCTCTGCCTGGGAACCTATACAGCCTGGTTCGGGAGCTCCTCTTCTCAGAGCCAGGCACTACTGCACACTTGGCCTAGGCAGGAATTCCTAAGTAGGAGACACATCTTTCTTTCCAGCCCAAACAAGTGGGTTTCCTTCTTGACTAATGTTTGGTGATAGGGGGTATTGTGCAAGGGGAGAGCAGGGTACATGCAGGAATGGAGGAAAAAGAGGCATGTGAAGAGGAGGAACAAAGACCAAAGAAGGCAGTGGTGGGTGATGAGATATGTGCAGATGTGTACCAACTGTGAACTACCTGGAAAAAATAAATTGTCATGACTATTGAATAAAACAGACACATTATGTCACAGTTACACACTCTGATTATGCCCACTACCCAGTGAGTCTTTGGGGGACAAAGATCTGTCCCAAGCTTGCTTGTAGCACTCAATATGAGATTGCATAACATCTACAATGATCTGCATATACTTAACTTCCTAAAAGCAGGGGTGTTTAGAAGTCCCATCTGTACATTGTCACTTGGCTCTGGTACTGGGTACAAAACCAATTGTTCAAGTAATCCTTACCCTTACAGAGCTTAGGGAAGGAGAGAAGTGGTCAACCAAGAAGGCACCAGCAGAGATCCACACAGAACAACAATCATGAATGGGACAGCAAGTGCCTGGTATTGCTTAGTGGGACCTTCAAAGGCCTGAGGATGGTAGTAAGGTAAAATCTGAATGAGAAAGACTAACTGTGGATGGACAACACAGCTAGGTATGAGGTGCTTAATATATAAACTAGGAGAGGTAAGAGAAAGCAAATTAGGCCTGTGCATCAGGTAATGCTTGGAGATGCGATTATTGACAACTATGATGATCTACGTACACTTAAGCTTCCCAAAGCCAGTGCCTCCAGGAGCTATGGGATTGGCTGGCTTCAATTCTGGCATCAGCAAAGTGAGGAAGGTCGACACGAGCAGTGATTCAGTAATAGCAGCAGCAGACATAAGCATGAGGTTGCCTGCAGCACTGTCGACTTAACTGGCATTTCAATTAATGGTTAATATAGAATCAGACTTTATTCAAGATTCACAATGTTTATTCATATGAAGATAATCATATCTGCATGTGTGTATAATATATACACACTAAAGATATCTTTTAAAGATACCATTTTTGTGATTGTTTATTATAAATCTTTAAATAAATATCTAATATTAACTATTTATATCTCAATTTCTAGTTATACTGGATACCATTTGGAAAAATAGTTCATTTCAAAAACTCACTTGTTCAATATTATATCTAACTTCAAAGACTTATGAGATCCTTCTTTAAATATAGGGGACATTTTTGTTGTTTTTTGAGAGAGTATTTCTATGTAGCTGGCATGGCTTTGAATTCATAATCCTGCCTCAGCATCTGGAGCGCTAGGATTAGAGGCTCATGCCACTAGGCCTGGCTTTTAGATAGAGTAACTCTGGGCTAGAGAGACGGCTCAATGGTTAAGAGCATTGGCTGCTCTAGCAGAGGATCCAGGCTTGATTCCCAGCACCACATGGCAGCTAACAACTATCTGTAACTTCAGTTTCAGGGAATCCAACACCCTCTTCTGACCTCCATGAGCACTGCATGACACAGGTGCACTTACATACATGCAGGCAATACACTCATCTACATAAAATAAAAATAACAAAATGTTAAATATAGATAACTTTAAATGCTGATGCACACAGACACAAGAGCACTGGAAATAAAATAGCAACTAGCAATCAGTAAAAATGATCTTCTAAGATTCAGATTTATGTTTGAACATTAAATATCTTCTCATTATTGAAGACTGTACTGCTAATAGCATGAAAAAGTGTCAGTCTCTAAATTACTCTAATGAAACTGTCTACGCCCTCAAACTCCTTCTTTAGAACTGCTCATATTCATCTCGGTTGCTGGCCCCTGCCTCTTAGTTTTGTTTGGATAATTTCTTTCATACTGAGAAAGAAAATTTTCAAAAAATCATACTATGTCTATTAACTTAGACATCATCTTATTCTAATTTTAAATTACCTTATAGGAATGATGTAGGAAAAGAGAAGGAGGAACCGGAAAAGATTGCGGTACCATGGGCCTGCAAATCCCTGTAAGGTTACCATAACAACAGAAAGAACAACCAAAGCCAGAAATAGTGCCTTCGTCAGCTGATTGAGCTCAAGGTCCAACAAACCAACCTGAAAGAAAACAGAATAGCATTAATACATATCCAAGCTGACATGTTATCCCTAGTATCACACATCAGAATACATAATGTTGACTTGAGAAAATGCCAGCATTTTATTAATCTTTATAATAATGCAAAACAAAAACACATTTAACTTTCTCTTGAAAAGCCTCTTCATAGTCTCTATAGCATTCACAGGAAGAATATGCGATAAAACACAAGGCCAGACACACAACCCAACCAACCATAGCTGGATCTGCTGGGTGGATGATGTGATGGTACTGACCAAGACAGCAAAACCAAGAATATCAGGCCCAAAGGAGGGCATAGGGGGCCCCCTCCATGCCTAGCCCCCTACATGAGAACTCTTCTGTGAGTAAAGGTCCATTTCTTGTGGCACATTCCAGGTAAGACCAGCATCTGTCTGTCACTCTCAGGTGTTTCTGTACACTCTCCATTCAGACTGAGAGACCCAAGTGCAGGACAGTGTGTGTGTGTGTGTGTGTGTGTGTGTGTGTGTGTGTGTGTGCCTCTTCTGCAAGACTTTCTGCGAGGACTTATGAAGAAAGAGGCCACATGGCGAGGTCAGCTTTGGATGAATAAATACCTGCTGGTTCATGCAAGTCTCACATTTATGACTCTCCCAATATGATATACTACACAGGATAATGAAATTTATCCTACGGATCAGTTAGTAGCTGAGCATGTAAATGTAAGAGAAATAGGAAGTAGTTCACTTTTCCTTGATTTTGGAATAAACACTGCTCCCCAACAGATCTCACTCTACAAGTAAAGAGAACATGGCTCTTCTGAAATGTGAAATTCTAATTTTGAGCTCAGGCAATCTCTGTGAAAGGTTCCACCCTGAAAGACCACAGTGCATTACAGTGCAATTCAGTGTGTAGGCTGGAGTGGGGAGTTCCCTGAGGTTCTGGGTAAAACAGAAACGCCACAGAACCAGTGGGACAAGTGAAGGCTGTGGCAGCTAAAGCCTGAGCTGAAGCCTACTCGCTTAGACTTGGACTTTACCTCCTGACTGTTTAACCCTGGGCCATTTGCTGTTCATTTTCTTACTGTAGAATGAGGTCTCTTAGCCAGCTTCCTGACAGGACTCTGGGAATGAAGAGATAGTGTATACAATATCATATGCAGGTCCTATGACCCTGTAAGCCCAGCAGGCATGTTGTTTTTGCCATGATACATTCACATTTGGCTCCAGTTTCTCTGCCAAAAA